AGCTGTGCCCGCCCCCTCCCCCGTCCATTCCGCCAGTCAGCGCTGGAGGATCGGACAGTGGAGGGGGGAATCCCTGCAGGGAGCCATGAGTGACAGTCACGGCTCTCTGCAGTGACAGGATCGAGAAGTGAGCGAGCGACGGTATGCGTTTGCTTACTTCCCGATCTATAGAGCCGACCTGTGACAGTCTCATTGTCACACGTCGGCTCGAACTATGAGGCTGAGTGATTTTCACTCCCCTCATACTTCTCCTTTAAGGCTAGGTTCACACCTAGGCGACTCCTGACCGCGAAGCAATCCGCGCGGTTTTCTGCACGATTGCCGCGCGGTCAGGAGTCGCCAAGGTGTGAACCGATCGCGCTGTGGGTGCCATTATTTTCTAATGGCACCCCAGTCGCGCGGTTTCCCGCCACGATTCCGCCCATGCAAGTGAACACGATCGCGGCTAAAAAAAAGCCACGGGTCGTGTGTTGAAAAAAAGGTTCTTTTTTTTTTTAGCGATTGCCGTGCGGATGTCACCCCATTTAAATCAATGGGGCCGCGTGGCAATCGCTGTCTGCACTACCACATGATCGCGCGGCCCCGGGATGTGCGGCCCGGGTGTCGCGCAGGTGTGAACCTAGCCTTATTCCACATGCATCTGTACAAAGAACAACCGCTGAAGCGTTTCTGCCTTATTTGGCCTTAGCCATAGCTGGCAGAGGAGCAGGACTTTATTTCCTGATGCCACGGCTGCCACCCTGATGAAGGGAGATCTGATGACTGGTGGGGGTAATGATGAAGATGCAGCATGAGAGGCGGAGAAAGCACAGAATGCATGAAGCTGAAGCAGGGAGGTCCTTGCTCTGCAGGTCCTCAGGTACGGCTTCCTCTCCAGCAAGGAAAACAGCGAGCAGCACAGTAATGACTGTGACGGACCCCAGTACTCAGGATGAGTATGTCCGCTGCTGTATTCTTCCTTGCTCAGGAGATAGTGCAAGCTGAAGATCTTTAGCTCTCAGTTTCCCCAGTCACTGGTCGGGACTCAAGTGTAGGGTGAAACAAACTCTGCTTTATTGATCAACTGTGAAACCTTTTATACAGCAAGTGATGAGATCAGATTATAATCACATCCACCCTCCCCTCCCCAGACATTCTGTCTTCACAACACCACAGGGTTTCCCCTGCTAACGAGCTCCAGACAGCCATAGCAGGAGCCTGGCCAGAATGTCATTGTCCTGAGCTCCTTCAGAGTACAAAGGAAGATAACGAGAGTGGGGGGGTGGGGGGTTGCTGACAGTCTTTTACACAGTAACATAATTAAACATAACTCAACACCAATACACATCTAAGGCTGGGCACACACCTTACAACCATCGCAAGACTTTTGTCTTGCGATGTTTGTAAGGTACTTAAAAAAAAACGTACGATCTGCCTATGTTGCATAGGCAGATAGTACTTGCGATGATCGCAAGCCACGCCCCCTGAGGGGCGGGCTTCCGATGACCGCAATGCCGAACGGGCAGTGTGCGCTTGCTTGGGCACACCGGCCCGTACGGCTTTTATCGTACGGACATGCCACAAACCCGCCGAACATCGTACGATGCTCGGCGGGTTTTCAAACATGTCCGTAAGTTTAAAGTCGTGCGACCTTACAGTAGTAGAGGTCGCACGGCTTCCACACACCTTACGATCATCGTACGATCGCGGGATTTCCCGCGATTATCGTACGATAATCGTAAGGTGTGTGGGGACCCTTACTCATAAACTGATCACCATGTTGTCACAATGACATCACCAAATCTGGTGAGAGGCAGCAGTGCTGTAGATGGTCTCACACTGCAGATATACAGCTACGAGTCTCAAAGCACGGGCGCGCCTAGGTGCCCTCACATACCAGGACGCGCACTGCTATTTTTCAGGTGGAAACCAAGATAAAAGGTAAATTTTCAGGGTACGGCTCAGAGACAATTAACATTTCTAAACGTTCCCTACAACCCAGCTAATCTTCCCTTGCGGCTGCCTCATCACCTGTGTCATTATTTACCTGACCTTGTGATCAATAATCCCGGAGACATCTAGTTGTTCATCAGCATTCTTCACCCTCTGAACAGGTGATTATTGTACAGGTGAGTGTCGGCCATCCGTCGCCAAAACACAGGTGTGTTACTATGGCAGGTTTTACAACAGACAGGAATGAGAAAAAGACATTCATCTGAGTGACAACAGTAAACAAAGACGGCGTTACCCAACAAACACCTATCATCCCTTCACAACGTTATTGGTTCAGATAAAGTTATCGATCAATTAAGCGAATCCTTATATCTGAACATCGTTAATGGGCCGTTTGCGGGGGGCAAGAGGGCACTGTGACCCGATTCAGTCCGGGTATAAGTTGGATAACTTGCTAAACTGCCTTCTTCTGGTCTCCTTACAACATTTTATTGGGACTGAGGTCAGGACTGTGAGCTGCCCATTCACAAATACCCTTTTATAGGTTTGAGTTGCTTCATTGTTGATTTTATGTTTCTCGGGTCGTCCGTAGTGATCAATTTTGAGTTTTAGATCACAGTCATACAAACAGAAGAAAAGCTGCCCGCACACTGGATTCCGCTGGGATAGTAAAGCTTGCCCCCTCAGGCCCCCCCAAGGCCTGCCCCCTCAGACGCGTGTCACCCAATCTTGGGCCTAGTCGGGCTAAGGCTGGGTGCACACCTGAGCGTATTTTTTCAGCTCGTTTCTTTCGCGTTTTTTACCACGTTTTTCCGTTCAGTGAAACGCGCGTTTCACTGGCGGTATGATTTAAAAAAAATTAAAATAGAGAAAATAAAGGGGAAAAAAATCATACCGCCAGTGAAACGTGCGTTATGTAAGCCCTGTACGCTTTATCCCTGAGTGTGGCTCGGGGGTTACCGCTTTGTTAATCCACACTCGGGAATACCAATGGAAACGCGCAGCAAAACTCCCCCAAAGAAGCTCCTGTACTTCTTTGGGCGTATGGCGTTTTGCAGCGCGTTCCTACGCGCTGTAAAACGCCCAGGTGTAAACCAGGCCTAAAGCTCTACGACGAAGCCTGTGATTGGGTGAAGGGTGAAACGCATCAGCGGGGTGGACCTTGGTGGGACACCAGTGATGTGGTGCAAGCTTCAATAAATTATCCTAGTGGGATCTGGTGTGCAGACAGCTTTTTGTCTGTTTGTATGGGCTGATATTGGAGCAAGGAGGTCCTCCTAGAGCCAAGCACCCGGGTCATTCCTTTCCTGGGCCAAAAAAACACCTAGTTAGCACTTTTCAGAATAAATTTGAGCATATTTTTTCTTAGAACTTTGAGAGTTTGAATTACTCTATGAAGAGTCAAGGTTCCCAGTAGTAACCACCAGGTGGCGCTATAAATAGTAGTTGGTAATATTGCAGTTCTTAGCACTGGCCATCAGGTGGCGCCGCGCACAAGGCGCTGTGAATAGGTAGGGGAGTGTGTGCAGTTCCAGGGAGTGGCCACCTGGTGTCGCTCTATATAATCTACACTGTTGCAGTTTTAAGCAGTGGACAACAGGTGGCGCCATATAAGTACTTTGCAGTTGCAGTTCCCAGTATTGGCCGCCAGAAAGCGATGTGTAAGAGGAGCGTACTTGCAGTTCCCAGCAATGACCGGGAGGAGGCGCTGTGTATGAGGATTGTGGCTGCAGTTAGCGGCAATGAACGACAGGCAGCACTGTGTATGAAGAGCGCGGTTGCCGTTCCAGGCAGTGGCCGCCAGGTGACGCTGTGTCCCCGCACGGTACTGCTGTGTCCTGGCCGGCTGCGGCGGGTTCCGGTTCGGGTGAGGCGGACATGGCGGCTCGGAAGGCCGGATCCCGGCTGGAGCTGGAGATAGAGCGCAAC